ACACACTTGGAGACCAGTCATCCTTACCTAGATGGATGCTGTTTGTGCTAGTTCATTACATTGTCTCTCTCTCGTCATGTCCTTTGTATTCCCTTTTCGCTTTTTTGTGTGGGTACGTTTTCAGCTCTTGTCATTGGCCTCTTCGTTGGCCATCCACCAATGACAAGAGGGATGGCCCCCTGCATCTGACATACATATTCCTAAATCCTTTGGAACGGGAGTTTCACACACACACATATATATATATATGTAAATGCTGCCAGGCTCCTTGGCGCTCTTTGACGCCATGGAGCTCCATGGCTGCAAACGCGACCTTGCCTGGACCTCAGCCTCTTTCCAGGCCCCGGGATTCAGAGGCTCTTCTTCCATTTTGGGGTTTAGGGTTTAGGGTTCGTAGTCCAGGTGTAAAAGGGTTTAGAGGCTCTTCTTCCATTTTGGGGTTTAGGGTTTAGGGTTCAGGGTTTAGTCGTAGGCTCTTCTATCCATGGGTTCTATAGGGTTTAAAAACAAAGGTCTTCTAGTAACGGTTTGTAGGGTTGTCTTTGGGTTCAGGGCAGGTTCCCCCAGTGGCCACCGTCTTTTTGGAGAAGCTCGTAATTCAGCTGTCACTGAGGAACCCAGGCCATACCTGAAGCCAGTTTTACAAGCACCTTGTTCAAGAAGGGGCAGCTCATAGGCTATGGAGCTGTGCTTGGCGGATTAGAGGTGAGGGGTTTCGGGTTACAGGGGTTGGATTAGGGTTCATGCTTTTGTCTTCAGGGCAAGATCCTGCCATGTATCCCGAATAGAAGCCTTATTCTCCATAAGTGGTGTTAAGCGTTGAGGGTTTCGTGTATAACGGTCAGGGTAGGGTCCTGTGCTTTTCTCTGAGTGCTTGCGGAGCGCTTGAATTAGAGACCTTCCCACGCAATGCGTTTGGGTTTCAGGTGTCTTGGGTTCAGGGGCATTCCGGTTGAAGCTGAACTTGCAGCAGTTTACGTTTGACACGCGCAGCGGGTCTACGACTCTCTATCGAAATCGGCCTTTCCGGGTTTTTGCCTCAGCCTGACGGACCTGACCGACTAGTGAAACATGGGGGTTTCCGAAAACAAGGGGGTACCTGATTTGGGGGTCCTTATAATAAGGATCCTACTATTTGGGGTACTATATCTGGGCCCCCTATATTCGGAAACCCCCATATGAATCCTCGGTTGCCTTGGCAGCTTATGTTGATAGTCTCAAACCCACTCAAAAACCTTCTCTGGTTATTAAAGTATGTATTTTTCCAATTCCGACTCTGTGGCTTGCAAGGTTAAACTTCTACAGACACCCTGGGAAGATCTAGAAAGTAGAACCCCTAGTTTCGGGCCCTTTTCTACCACAGGTTCTTTGTTGTAGGAATCCCATGAGAGGATGTACTTCTACATCCTCGCCGGGGTTTGGGTATAGCTTCTTTTGCTGACCAGGCTAGGCCTTGTTTTGGTTGCGTGATGTGCAGCACAAGACTTCTTTCGCGAAATCAGAAACACGTCAAGCTGTCAGAACCTGCTATTTTGAAGGAGGGTCCCTGTACATCTTATACCATGTATTTTTCGACACGCAATGTCCTCCCCGAGTAGGTTGAGGTACAGCAGTGATGGGAAATACCTGCCGAAGCCCAGGTGTCGATGAATGGTGCCATGGCGGTTGGAATCTCGGATCCTTCCAGATTGAGTTGTAAACCCTTAAACCCTAAACCCTAAACCCTAAACCCCTAAACCCTAAACCCTAAACCCTAAGTTGTAAAGCCTTAAAGAGCTGGGAGCCCCGAAGTCCCATTGCTTTGAATCTTGTCTTAGCGCAGAGTTCGGAATCTGCTATGGGAGTTGGGAGCTCTGGTGGTTCGGGGCTTCGTTGCGGCAGAGTTTCCCGTGCCCCAAGACACGAACACCTGGACTGTTGATGGTTTCAGCTCAACCCTCAAAGCCTCAACAACCTAGAGGTTTTGGGGTTCCGCTTTTTTGAAAGGGGGGTCAGGCAAGCAATCAGCAAATGCGTTCCCGATCAATGAAGTCTTAATTAAGGTCTTGACCTAGAACGTTAAGCCTTTACCTCCCAAAGCTGAAGCCCCATCCCTTTTGGCTTCCATGAGTCTAGGACCTTTTGGTGGTTTTGCATACGACTCCCCGCATGTCGTGCAGGGCTTGTAGGTGTAGGCTCTGAACCCGATAGCTTCAAGCGCGAACCCACATCGTTGATTGAGACGGGCCCTGCTACAAGTTCGATCGATGCAGGGCAGTGTGACTTCAAGCGTGGTGAGGTCGAAGGCATAGGAGCCTTGTTAGGAATGGGTCCTTCTGAAGGGTAGTTGTGCCCTCACTGACTTGCTAGCTGCATCCTTTCAGACACAAGTTGTTCGGTAGGGTGGGTTAGGGTTGAGGAGCCATCGAAGAGAGTCCGCCGCCCCAAATCTGCTACCCTTCGCACCTCTGCGCGCAGGCTCTCGTCAGAGCTCAGATGTGGGCGAAGGTGCCAACCTTACCGTAATGATCAGATCCCTACAAACTTTTATGACTCGAGCTTCGGCCCAAGATGGGCTTTTTTTACCCAGGGATCCAACTCAGTTGCTCAAGCGGCTGGAAGAGGTTTCCTCAGAGCGTCGGACTGAAAGCATCGATGCTCCTTTCCACGGCCTTCCGGATTTTGGATTTTGGCATGGGGTTCAGGAGTGAAGAGATATTTGCATGCTCGTCCTGCGTAGGACCAATAGACGTGTGATTGAGGGAACTCAAGCCGAACTTTGTCACTTGCTTAGCCAACCACCTCAGCAGGCGCTGATCATTTACGAGGACATCTCCCAGTCAGATTATCGACCTGATGGGGCAGCAGACCTGGACGGGGGGAGAGCATTTGGGTGGTAAGAGTAGCTGAGTACCTCCGCAGCTGCTGAGCAGCGACAACTAACTCTTCTAACAGTACGAAAACTTGTGTAATCTAACGCTCAGCACAGTACCGCAATGTAAGAACGGAATGTAATGTATGCACGTGTGTGTGTATGCATTATGTGTGTATGTGAGTGTGTACATATGTATGTCTGCATGTACGGACTTCATGTATATATGTATGCATGTATGTAGTGGTATGCACTGGTATGTATTGTAATGAACCGTAATACACTGTACTGCAATGCAATGTATGGGAACCTGGTAATACGGTGTAATGGTGTAACGCCTTGTAATGCATTGTAATGTAGTGTAATGTGTTGTAACGCAGTGAACCATGTGATGCAATGGAATGTCGATTCGCTGTGTGGCCGGGGGTAGGTGCTTTTGTTTTCGGGCAGAACCCTAAACCCTAAACCCTAAACCCTAAATTGGTGTTTGGCTGTAGGAGTGAGGTGCGGGGCTTTCGGAGTCTGGGTCACCGGGTCATTGCTGCGTTTTGTTGGGGTCTTGCACAGTCTGTTTACCTCATGAGTGTCTTGATGTAGGTAATGTATGTGTGTTCATGTAGGTATGTATGTATGTATGTATGTACGTACGTACGTACGTACGTACGTACGTACGTATGTGTGTGTGTAAATGCGCATGTAGTGGTATGTATTGGTGCGGCTACGATAATCCACAATGTGTTGTAATACATTGTAGTGTGTTGGCATGTAAAGTAACGATTTGTAATGCGTTGTAATGTGTTGTAATGGTTAATGTGTTGTAACGGAGTGTAAATGTACTGCAATGTAAGGTTGATTCGGTGCTTGGCAGGGGACAGGTGCTTTTTGGTTTTCGGGTGAGAGGGCTGTTGGTGTTTTGGGTTTAAGGTTTGGCTGGGTGTTAGAGGAGTTTGGTGCGGGGCTTTTAGAGCCTGGGTTGCCGGGTCATTGCGGTGACGTGGGAGGGAGGGAGGGAGGGAGGGAGGGAGGGAGGGAGGGAGGGAGGGAGTGGTAAGTCGGGTGCGCCATGGCTGAACAACTTGAGGTACGGGAGCATGAGAAGATCAGGCTGCCTGGGAATGATCTGATGCGAAAAACGTCGCGTGGGCCGGAAACTCTACACCCACTTTCTGTTTTCCTCTGACTGATGTATCCGCAGTTTGTTTCTGTACTGCAGACGGAATCCAACCTTTGTCCCACATCGTTGATTTCCTCCATGAACATGGCGAACCTTCTTCAAACCAACCCCTGAAAGGACAGTCTACAGCGAAACCCTCTTCCTAAACTGTTTGCGCACAAGAAGCCTTGAGTTGAATGCACACACCATACAGACTTCCAGAAGCCGAGCCAAGCAAAAAGCTCTTCTCACGCTAGTCCCTAAACCCTAAACCCGCCGAAACCCTAAACCCATAACGGGCTTAATGGGCTCTAATCACGAGCCCGTTTGAGGTCACGTGGACTTGTTTGATCTCAGCCCTCGGGGCGGGCCAACAGCCAGAGTCTCAAGGAATGAGGTGTCGAAACAGTGTAGGAGGGGTCGGAAGGTGTCGGAATATGCAGTAATAGCAGTATCAGTATCCCCCTTCTTGTAGCCCTTCTACACTGGTCGTATGACGCCCCGCCCCGAAACCTTCATTGAACAAATCAAGTTCCGATATTACATAGGGGCCTAGGGCGCTTCGGATAGATGCATCTGGGTTCCGGATCCAGGGCTCCAGGGAGTTGCGAGACTGAGTGGCCCCAAGTGGCCATTCCGCCTGCACGCATGCTGCAGACCCCACTTGACCTCGTGGATTGTTCGCCGACATCCTGATGTGGAAAGCCTAAGTCTCAAATCAGCAGCCATGAAACCTTAAGCCTACAAAAGTAAGTTCTTCATCTGTCATCTGATGTCATCATGATCATCATCTAAACAGCTACCCTCACGCAGGTGGGAGGGCGCTTTGAACCTCTTCTCCAGGCCAGGTCTGTTGTAATGATCGTGGGGGTTAGGGGGAGGGGGGGGCGGGTGGTAGTCAGTGCCTAGGTCACTTCGAATCGAAACTACAACGTCGAATCACGATCAAAAGGGCACGATTAGCACCGCTTCGTTGCTTTCCTTCAAGCCGTAAGAGTCCTTGGGTTTATGCAACCATCACTTAACAGCCCTGGGGCCCTTGCGTGGATCTGGGGCCTTTGTAAGTAGGAGTAGTGTAAGCACCTCCGGCTATAAGCCCAGTCGACATACCTATAGCGAACCTATTCACTTCAGCTGAAACGCAACGCGCGAAACCACACACAGATCCAACCCAAACCTAAACAAGCATAGTGGCTGAGTCGGAAGTCTTTCAATTTGTCGGGCTGCTACTCTAATACTGAAAGACTTAGGTAAGATTGCATACGCCGTACAGGTCGCAGACGCTGCCTACTCAGCTGCTACAGCCACCCCCCTTCGACCCTGAAGCCCTGCAAATCACTCCCCCTCAAAACTGGGTCCTCCAAACCCCCAACACCCCTCCACCGCCCGCAAGCCTTGCTCCCCCTAAACCCGAAAGCCGAAACCCGAA